CCATTAAAAATGGGTAAATTACACTTTTAGTACATAAACTATCAGTTTTGGTCCATTTTAGTATCTAAACTTTCAAGTTTTTTCAAAACCATACCTAACGTTTAGTTTTTGTTTCATTTTAGTACCCTTCTGTTAAAAACTTAACGGACAGATTGACGAGACATAGTTTTAGTGGACGAATGACCAATATGAATGGTGAACTATGAGAGAATGATGAGTCGACCAATATAGTCCAATTTCAACCCCATCACATGATTGACGACGGAGATCGAAAGATGAATAAGTCCAAGAGTCCATCGTTGATTTGGGAAGATTGAGATATTTTTGTGAAATGGAGGCTGAAATCACATTCAGGGGGTTTAAAAGATTTAGGCTAGAAAGTTTGGGTTTCATCAGCTGACGGATACGGCGATTGACAATTGTAGACGCTGCAGCCGATGAGCTCGTTCGTTAAGTTATTAATGGTGAGGTACTAAAATGAAACAAAAACTAAATGTTATGTATGATTTTGAAAAAAATAATAAAATTTTAGGTACTAAAACAAACAAAACTGATAGTTTAATTACTAAACGTGTAATTTATCCTTAAAAATAAAAAAATGTCATGCTAGTAGTTTTGTTATTTTTCTTAATGTCAGGTGACCAAAATGAAACTAAAACATAATATTAGATATGATTTTGAAAAAAAAAATAGTTAGGTGATCAAAACATAACAAAAGTGATAGTTAGGTGTGGACCTTGTATGCATTTATTTGGAATCCTTTTATATCCACAGTACCTGATCTTTTTTTTAATAAAATTGATAACGCGTCGTTTTTACTGTCAAATAAATTTATCCTTAATCTCATTAAAAATAAATATAATAGTATAAAGAGAGTAAGGGTCGATCCACATGGACTAAGGAAGATGCTGAAACGATTGTTCTTGATCTTTGATCTAGGCGAAAAAATTGCAAGTAAAGTAAAAAGGGGGTTTGTTGAGAAATTGAATAAGCAAAAATGATTCAAAGGAAGATAAAGAATCGAAGAAAGTAAAATTAAAAACTAATACGATGAAATTAGCCTTAGCCTTTCGCGTGCCTCAAATTCCAATCGATCATTGAATATGATTTTTCCTCCAGTTAAATGTCGGTTTGAGTCTGCAAGGTTCAATCCTTGTAGCTCATTTTCCTCTTTGGTGATTGGCTTTCCCAAATCTATTTTAGGAATCACAATCCTTGTTCAGATTAACTTCTCGTTGTTAACTCAAAACAGTTTAAAAGCGCTTGGAAAAAACCCAACTCGAATTATGTTTTATCTATAAAAGTCGAACTCGATCCCAATTTCCCTTAGCATACCATTCGCTAAGTGTGTTCAAGGGAATTCAAATCAATTAATTCTATAATCCCAACGGTAAACCATAACATCATCCAAGCCAAAATCTATTTTTGAAGTGGAAGCGTTTTGATTTTAAGAAATACTATCCGCCAATCTAGTTTTCAGAAAATTGAGAATTTAACCCGAGAGGGTATGAGGTGCTTTTCGATTCTCACGATTCAGAATCGAGTCATCGCTTTAGCATTTGGCTATGGAAAACTTAGCTAAGTATGATAGAAATCATACTTAGCATTTAAAAAAACTTAAAATAAAAATGAAAACTTGAAAAGAGAATAAAATAAAGAACTTTATAAAACTAGAATTAAGAAGAAGATTAAAATATGAATTGTGAGTTTAGGCTTACCCAAGAGGATATTTATACCCTCTAAAACCCTAGAGATAAACATAGAAATTAAAATAAAAATAATCCTAAAGATAATTCGCTCCCGCTTCTCTCTAGGGCCCATGTGTTTTTAAATTTAAAAGTGTTGTCTCCATCGTCAGTTGCCTGCTGGCCACTGCCGCCACTGCCGTCCACCGCCATACTCTGACTACCGTTTGACGCCGCTTTTTCCTATGATGGTCGTATGCTCACGGTGAACACAGATCTGGACTTGCATTTGCAAAAAACACTGTCTTTAGTCGCAGATCTACACTCGTCCTCTGCAGATTTTCGAAGCCTCCAGCCGTCCGAGTTCGCCTCTGCCACTCCACCAAACGCAGTGCCTAAACGTGACCTAATCCCGACTTCTCTTGTGTCGAGAAGTGGTGTACAACTGAGTATTCATCATGGAACCCCAACCCACGTCTCAACCCAGCCAACTTCGAGGGTTTGACTCAGCTGGTGCGGTGGCTGCTTCCTCCGTGAGGCCTCCTATTGTTCCTCCTTCATCGTCTAGGAGTTCACATCTCCCGTTTGAACCAGATTGCAGTGTTGCAGCTGGTGATTTCCCCCTGGAGTCTGCCAAGGAATTAGAAGCGAAAGTGAAGGCTCTTAAAGCATTAGCGACAGAGTTGAATAAGCGGGTTAACGATTTAAAAATGAAGGAAAATGCAGTTCCACGAGGCAGTCTTCTCAAGAATTCTGGATCCGCTGGTGCAGCCTCTTCATCTTACTCCGGTAAGGACAATCGTAAAATTGAGAATGAAAATGAGAGGACAAATTTACGAAAACCACAAAGACGAGTTTTTACCAGACGCTTGCTGGACGGACTGAGGTAGCTTGGTAACTTCCCTATTCCACCGAATGCTGCTAAGAACGATGTTTTGGCAGCCTTGGCACGTGAGGCGGGTTGGATAATTGAGCTCGACGACACCACTTACATACACTCTCCTTCAACCCAAAATCAGCAAAATTCGGGATCATTTTCGGTCAGGTCGGGTGAAAGTCCACTATCATCTAGTCCTTTGAAGAAATGCTCACAAGAAGGGAAACATAGGAACGAAAAGTTGTCTTTTGTTCACGCAACACCAACGCTTCCAGTCGCTAATGTTGATCATGGTGGTGCCAAGGAGATCTATTCGAAAGGGTATTCCGATGCAAAATTTTTCGAAGTGGTGGGAAGAAGAAGAAATGGGTTTTATAATCGGTCGAAAAAAGGCCAACCAGATTTCCGCAATGGGTCCAGAAAGGATTGTTACACGATTTTTATCGAGAACCTTCCAGAGAAGATCCATTGGAAGAAACTTGGATCCATATTTGGCTCACATGGTCAAGTTATTGATGTCCTCATTCCCAAAAAACAAAACTCGAATGGGGTTCGCTTTGGGTTTATTCGCTTTGCTACAATTGAAGAAGCAAAGACAACGATTTCTAAGATGAATTTATCATATTTACGACAACAAAATTAGAGTCTCTTTGGCTAAACATAAACCCCGATAGTCTTACTGGCGAAAGTCCTCGAAAGTTGTTCATAGTAAGTCGAGGATGAAAGTTTTTTCGACGATTAAACACTGTGAAGTTGAGGGTGTTGTGGACAAAGATAAACTTCATGTGTTGTCTAACTGTCTTGTGGGGTGGTGCAAGAACTTTATCAAGATTGGTAATCTTGCTAACCAAATACAAGTCAAAGGACTAGCGGGTTTCACGCTTATGAGAGCTGCTGGAAATGTAATTCTAATGGTTTTTGAAGATTCTAATTCGTTGAGATACGTGAAGGATGAAAAGTTAGAGACTCTTGCAGAATGGTTTTCCATAGTGGAAACTTGGTCTGAGAGCCTTGTGGTGGAAAGCCAACGCGTTTGGCTAGTTTGCGAAGGTATTCCTTTTCACGCTTGGAATTGGGATACTTTCAAGAACATAGCTACTAAGTGGGGCAAATTAATAGCAATCGATAACAGTTGTGAGTTCCCTTCGTCTTTTGATCGGGCTAAAATCCAAATACTCACAAACGCTCAAGTGAGAATTAATGAGTTGTTGGAGTTGAAGGTCGGGGATCATTTATTCAAAATCTTGGTGCATGAAGTTTATCCTTCATTCAAACCTAATTCTTGGGTTCCTGAAGATTGCGATATTTCTTTAGAACTTGATCCTCCAATTGGATTGTGATTGTTAAGCAGCTGTATTCAGAGGTGTTTTTAAGTTTGTGGTTGTAATTGTTGGTTTTTTTGCTATGTTATCTTACATCTTGAGGTGATTTAGGGGTTTTTTGGTTGATGATGTAAGATTTCTAGGTGATATGGTTTGTATTGGTATTTATTCCCGTATGTGTGTTTGGTGTTACCTCATGTACTTAGTATTATATTCAATAAAATATGAGACACTCTTTTCTCCCTTTCAATGTTCTTCAACATACTTCTAAGTATGTGGAAGAATATGAAGGGAGTTTTTAATGAGACCTTCAACTTCTATCAAAAAAAAATCCTAAAGATAATTCCAAATGTTTTCTAAATTCAAACTTAAAATTTAAAAATAAATCTCCTAAGATATCTCTGTCCGTCCACCTTCTAGAAGTCGCTGACTAGATCTTCTAGAAGATTGTTGCTGACTGGACCTTCTAGAAATTGCCACATCAGACCGTGTCATGCCCATAGTCGTTCCCATGTCTCCAGCCGTGACCAAATAATAAAAAAAATGCAGAATGCGCCCGTTTTACTGCTAATTATGGAAAGTAAGATCCTGCACGAAAATAAGCATAACACAACCAAATCAGCAACAATAAATTCATAAGATCGAAGATTTAACAAACAAATATTATCGATTTATAACATTCATCAAAAATACAATATTTGTTGTGAAAAAAATAGTTATATAGATGTCAAAGTCAGAAAAATAATACAAAAAAAGTCGTACAGATCTCTTGCTCTGATAAAATATTAACCGAGAATTCCAATTCATCGTCAAGAGAATTAAAACGAGTGTCTTGATGCAGCTCGTAATTCTCATCCCATCTTCTTTCTTCTTCATAGCAATAATAAAGTTCCTTCATGATTACTTATGGAAGCCTCTCCGTATACAGCAAATGCTGAACGCACAGGGAATCAAAGGACCTCCTTACAGATTCATCCATGGAAACAGCAAAGAAGTTGCCAAAATGAAAAGGGAAGCAATGAGCAAAACTCTGGGTTTGACGGACAATATGTTTCCTTACGTGCAGCCGCATATTTACACTTGGATCAACAAATATGGTAAGAATTATGTTTCATGGGATGGAGGTAGAGCTCAGCTTGTGATTTCAGAACCTAGGCTGATCCAAGAGGTTCTAAAAAACAGTGAAAAGGGTTTTCCGAAGAGGGAGCCTTCGGTTTTTAGTAGAAAGTTACAGGGGAATGGGCTTACGGTCTTGGAGGGCGAACGATGGGCGAGGCGTCGGAAGCTGGTGAATTATGCTCTTCATGGGAAAGCTTACAGGTAAAAGTAAAACCTTTTACATATGTTGAAATCTTACGGTGTTTGAGCAAGGGATTTAAATAGCGGTCTGTGACCGTGATATTTGAGATATTAAACGTGTAGTAAACCCAAAAAAATGTGGGACTCTTCTAAAAGATCAAGACATTGCTGGCTAAATCTTACATTGTTTGAGCAGAACATGATACCGGGATTTATTGCTAGCGTTGATGCAATGCTGGAAAAGTGGAAAGGACGAGAAGACAAAGAGATGGACGTGTTCGAAGAAATTCGAGTTTTGACTTCAGAGATGATATCGAGATCAGCTTTCGGTACCAGTTACTTGCAAGGGGAGAAGATGTTTGACATGTTGAATAAGTTGTCGGCAATAGTTGGTCGGGTTGCAATGAAGAAGAAGATTCCCCTAATCGAGTACGTTTCCTCTAAGCTTAACAGATCCCACTTTTTGAATGCAGATTTTATCTTCTCCTGGTTTGTTTTTACAGCAAAATTTGGAAAAGTGCTGATTTTGTTGAGTCTGAACAACTTGTGAAAGCTATAGAAGATTGTGTGATGGAGATTGTTAAGATAAGAGAAGAGAAAGTTGTGAACGGTGAAGCCGATAGCTTCGGCGATGATTTTCTGGGAATTCTTGTAAGTGCTTATCGTGATTCGAACGATAAAAACAGGCTTTCAATGGACGATTTGGTGGATGAATGCAAATTATTCTTCTTAGCTGCACAGGCAACTGTTAATTCCTTGATTGCGTGGGCGATCATGGTTTTATCAATCCACCAAGACTGGCAAGAGAAAGCAAGAATGGAGGTGATCGAGATCTTCGGCGATCGAAACCCTGATTCCAACGGCATTGCCAAGCTCAAAATCGTAAGCAAATTGATCCTCTTGCGGTATAATAGATGTTATTGTGATAGATTATGATTTGTTCGCGTTCTGCATACAGATCACCATGATCATTCACGAAACCGAGAGATTGTACGGTCAGCCGAGTCCGCTGATGCGAAAAGTCGAAAGGGAAGCTCGGTTGGGGGAGCTAGTCTTGCCGGCTGATATCGATCTTCGACTAGCGACGATTGCGGTTCACCATGACACTCAACTATGGGGAGACGATGCGCATCTCTTTAAACCGGATAGATTCGCAGAGGGGATTGCAAAAGTTACGAGAAACAACGCGGCAGTGTTTTTCCCCTTCGGATTGGGACCTCGGACTTGTGTCGGTATGTCGTTCGCATACACGGAGGCGAAGATTGCTCTCTCTATGATTCTGCAACGCTACACCATTAGCCTCTCCCCTGCCTATGTCCACTCACCACAAGTTCATCTCAGTCTTAGGCCAGGACATGGAATTCAAGTGATACTACATTCATTGGATTAATGAATCTCAACAAAATCCGATTAGTCGATCAATAAATCGAATATGAGTGATTTATTTAAAATAAAAGTAAAAACAACAGAACTGCTTAGGTAAAAGTAATTGCCTCAAACCATGTTGGTCAATTTGCTCTATTTTACATGTTATACCATGTTTAGGTAAAAGTGCCACGGAAGTCCCTGTACTAGGTGGTGAATTGTAATTTGGTCCCTCTATTGAAAAAATTAACCAAACTAGTCCCTCTGCAACTCGTATATATCCGGAATTGGTATCTCATAGTTCAACAAAGAAATGTTAGATTAATCAACTTTTAGGTTATTATTAAGAATTAGGTTTCATTTAGATTTCAAATTTCTATTTCAGTATTGGAAAATTTTAATTCCTGTTCATTTGGAAATAAAAATATATATTTCAGAATTCAAATTTGATTAATTCCCTTTTTTTTTTTATCAAATTATGATAATGTATATTTTTTTGATATTGTTGCTTCAGGAGTCCATGCATATTTTCTTGATAATGGAATAAATGACCCAGCTTTCGGTTTAAGATTCTGCATTCAATGTGAAAACCAGGCAGCTTTCTGCGTTAGAATCACTGTTCTAGGCTTTGAATAAAATTGGTGTCATGTGTTTTCTTCTACTTGCATCCCATCTCGAGGGATTGAAATCGATCGGATTCGATTAAGTTTCGGGATTCAGATGAATAACTCGGTTCCAGACCAACATTTTCCATCCTTTGGGTATGATGTAGCCTTCAAAATTTTCTTCTACTTGGGGATGATCGTGGAGGTTAATGGTGAGCCGTGATGCAGTATGCGCAGCTGGTTCATAACCTGATAAAAAGAACCCCATTAGCAAATTAACGATCAATTCATTGTCCAGTTTTTCACCACCCACGCCTTCAGCTTCCAAGAGTTTCATCCATGTCTCTGAATATTTTAAGATTCATAACTATGATTAAGAAAGCAATAATCTTTTCCCATGGTATTGATTTCTAAAAGTAACTTGAGATTAGTTATTGGCTCAGCCAGTGGTCATAAGCTCCTTTGGGTGTGATATAGCCTTCAAAATTATAAACCAAACATGTTTCCGGAGACATTAGTTCATGTACATGAATGTGAGAATGTTGCCATGGAGGCTGAGAGTGATGAAAGCTGGTGGACTGAGATAACAAATAAAGAAGGAGGAAACTTAGAGAGATGACAGAATGAAGCTTTTATTGAACATTGAAGAAATACATTGCATTACAACCAGCTTATATAGAAGCTGTGTCTTCAAGTTTACTCTACCTCTATAACAGATTCATAACAGACTCCGACCATCATAACAGACTTCAACAGCTCACTCACACACACAATGCTCATATTAGGAGCACATGCACACGTTGCATATTCTAGAATATACTTGTGTATTCCAGACTTCATATTCCAATATTCTCCCGACTTCTTCAACCTTCTTGATGAAAAGACGAACACTCGAAACGAAAGTACGATACATCTATCCGTTCGATTTGAATCAGAAGTGTCGATGCTTCCTTTCGTTCGATTTGAATCGGAAGTGCCGATGCCTCCTTCCGTTCGACTTGAATCGGAAGTGCCGATGCCTCATTCCGTTCGACTTGAATAGGAAGTGCCGATGCCTCCTTCCGTTCGACTTGAATTGGAAGTGTCGATGCCTCCTTCCGTTCGACTAGAAACGCGGACACAAGACTGTATGATATCTAAGACAGTGATGAAGTCTGACCTAAATCCTTCCCCCAGCATGCAGTTTAAATGTCCCTGAAACTAAGCATCATATTCACACTCTGCAAATACATCAATCATAGATTTCCATGAAACCAAGTCTCTCCGAGGAATCATCATAAATGTCTGATATGCGGCTCCTATGTCATTGTATTTTGCATAGAAACTAACAAGGGCATTTGACATCGATGTAATTGCATATAAGCAAGAATACCGAAGAATATACCCGTGGATGACTTTTCCAACCTGGAGATCTTTTAAGTGTGCAAAGGCAGAAAGAACACTAACATGAGTCGCAGAATTTGGTTCAAACATATTTGCAGAGATTAATTCCTGAAACAAATCCAAAGCTCTTAGCCAATAACCATTTGCCACATAACCAACAATAATAGCATTCCAGGAAACCAAATCTCTTGATTCCATCTTTTGAAACACTGATTGATTCGAATCATCTAACACTAAATCAGCTTCTCGAAGTAAACAAGCGTGCTTAAGATTAATCAGCCCCTCATCTGTCTCTCTGATTACCTCAATAAGCTCACCGTGAACCTCAAGGATTTGGGGATTGAATGGGTCAGATGCGAGAGCATCGTTTAGGGCAAAGAGTGAATCTCTTTGCTCACCAAATACGAAAGGAAGACACATTATTAAAAGTAGATGAGCCATTGAAATGTGCTTCTTCTCCATGTATTTACAGTAAGACACTAAACCAAGATGAAATCTCAACGAAAACAGGGGAAAACAAATATGTTTTATGTAAAATTTGTACACAGTAAGAGATGGAAGAAAGTGAGAGTAAAGGAATTCAATCGTCGGCGCAATGACGGAAGAGAAAACGACGCCAGGATCTTTTAGCGAATGATACCATGTGAGAATGCTACCATAGAGGCTGAGAGTGATGAAAGCTGGTGGACTGAGATAACAAATGAAGAAGGAGGAAACTTAGAGAGATGATAGAATGAAGCTTTTATTGAACATTGAAGAAATACATTGCATTACAACCAGCTTATATAGAAGTTGTGCCTTCAAGTTTACTCTACCTCTATAACAGATTCATAACAGACTCCAACCTTCATAACAGACTTCAACAGTTCACTCACACACACAATGGTCATATTAGGAGCACATGCACACGTTGCATATTCTAGAATATACTCGTGTATTCCAGACTTCATATTCCAATAATGAAAAAGTAAACGAATGAAACAAAATAACGAAGAGTGTCAATTATCAACAGACTAACCATCAACATCCTTGTTTGCCTTTCGGAAAGTTGCAAATGACGTGTCGTTTAATCTCATGGTCTAGAAAATTATGAGCGAGGTCAATTGCCAAGCTCTTTGCCCAGAAAAATAAGAATGTATCCCGAAGGGACTTTTAGCACTTTGTTCAAATATCACGATTTGAATTGACTCATTACTAGCTCTTTGGCATGAGGAAATTAGCTATTCATGATATTGATTATCATACTTTGCATGGTTTTGTAAAATAAAAGCAATTGAAAACGAATAACGTAAAAGAAAGAAAATGAAAACTTAAATTATAATGAAATACTTAAGTAACAAATAAAAAAAAGAATAAGATCACATGTTTAAGACTTACCTAAAAGGGTATTTATATGCTTCCTAAATCTAGAGATAATAAAATAAAATCAAAGATAATTCAAGTAATAATTCAAATATTTGAAATTAAAAACCAACAAATTCAAATCCTAACAACTCCATCAGAATCGTGCTGACTGGATGTGCTTCCAGAATCTTCCAGTGTCTTCCAAAACTATCACGTCAGCTCTGTGTCGTGCCCAACGTCATGCCCATGTCTCTAACCATGACCAGAAAATAAAAAAAAAGTTGCAGATCACATATTTTTGTTGCCAATTCTAGTATTGGGTTCTTTGCACAGGAAATAAACCAAATGCAACCAATTAAGCAGTGAAAAGCTCATAAATAAAGAAATTGACAAGCAAAAAGTGTCAATTATAAGAACACATCATCGTGCAAGAAAGTCATCTTTGCATCAAGTTGAGCTAGCTCCAAATTCAATTGTGTTACCAAGGCCAACAATATTATAATGAAGGAATGCTTCACAGCAGGGGAAATACTTTATTATAGTCAATTCCCTCATTTTGAGCGTAGCCTTTAGCTACCAACCTTGACTTACAGCGAACATTTTTCTTGGTAGGAGATATGTCATTTTTTGCAAATACCCACTTGCATCCAATTTCTCTTTTACCTTTCGGTAATTGTGTCAAATTCCAGGTATTGTTCTTTTGGGGAGATTGCATTTCTTCATCCATGACACTTTTCCACTTGTCACTGTCCAAGCTTTGTATTACTTCTTGGTAAGTGATAAGGATATCATTATCAACTACCGGAAGAGAATATGCCACCATATCAACAAATCGAGCAGGTATATGAATTTCTCTCATTGGCCTTGTAACTACAAGTGGTTCTAGTGTTCCCAATAGTTCTTGGGCTGCAAAGTACTACTTGTTTGAACAATTCTATTTGTTACATTCTTTAATATAGTAGGTTCATCAAAAGTAACATCTCTGCTATAGATTATCTTCTTGGTTTGTACACACCAGAGGCAAAATCCGTTCACTCCATAAGTGATTCTCATAAAGAGAGGTTTTTTTGCTCTCGGATCAAGCTTTGATTCATTCACATGATAATAAGTAGTGGATCCAAACACATGTAAGGAATCATAATCCGTAGCAGGTTTTCCAAACATGTTTTTCCTCCTATAGCCAATGACGACAAATGATTGATGAGATGACCAACATATGTCACAACCTCAACCTAAAATGCTTTGCCTAACCTAGCATTCGATAGCATACATCGAACTTTTTCTAATAATGTTCAATTCATACACTCTGCCACTTTATTCTGCTGTGGTGTATTTCTAACAGTGAAGTGTTGAACAATACCATGCTCATGGCAAACGTCAAAGAATGGATCACTTTTATATTCCCCTCTATTGTCCATCCTAAGTCATTTGATCTTTTTACTAGTCTTGTTCTCGATCATGTTTTTCCATTTAAGGAAAATTTAGAGCACTTCATCTTTAATCTTCATCGGATACACTAAACTCTTCTGGAGAAGTCATTTACAAAAGTAACAAAATAATGTTTTCCTTCCAAAGATGGTTTCTTGGAAGGACCCCACACATCTGAGTGAATATAATCTAAAATACCTTTCGTATTATGGATTATGGTGTCAAACTTCACTCTCTTCTACTTTCTCAGAACACAATGCTCGCAAAAGTTCAATTTGCAAGCATTTGAGCCTTTCAACAACCATTTCTTTGCCAGAAAGGATTTCTCTCCAGCATGTCCCAATCGCATATGGCACAATTGGGTTGTGTCCAAGTTGTCGCGACCAGAAGCTGTTGCAACTGCTCCACTAATTGGACTACCTTGGTAATAATACAAATTATTTTTCCTGATGCCCTTCATTATCACAAGTGCGCCAGATGTGACTTTCAAAACTCCATCTCTCGTAGTGACAATTGAGGCTTTAGATTCCAAGGCTCCCAATGAG